TCGCGCCAAGCGAAGTCTCCTCACCAGCAAACACCAACAAAAAAGAACCAAAGCAAAGTAGTCGAGGTGAATAAGCTGTTCGAACGAAGATTGTCTATATGCAAACTTGAACTTACAATGTCGGTGACGCGATATGATATTTGCTCCGTTGTCTAGGGAAGTCGAAAGCAGGGCATGCGCTTCAAAGTTCGTATAACTTAAACAGTTCTGATATGATTGATGACTCTCAATAGCGAGAAACCATGGGCGACTCTAAAAGCTGGAATAATGGAGCGGCAGAATGACGGAATAACGGAACGGCGGAACGGCGGAAAATCACCCGATATCCTAAAAGATGGAATGACGGAAAATCCCCCGAAATCCTAAAAGACTGAGCTCGAGGGTCTACAGATGTTATGGGTGTCGGCAAAACATCCGTCTCAAACCCCAGAAAAGGGAAGTGAAAGTAGCTCCTCCACCACCTTGGGGCTTTGTTCTTGCACGACTGGAACTCAGGGCAATCTCTAATCGTGATGGGGAGATAAGGATGTCCATCAAGTCGGAGCCAGTGCATTTTCAGCCAAAGTTGTCTTGCATTCACAACGCCCACAGTCCGCTGGATACACATCTTCCGAGTTACATTACATATACATATATTTTATTTCTTCTCGAATTTTAAGTAGTTAAAATTAACTAATATCCTCGAGAACACATTATATTATGTATGATATTATACTCCAACAAGATATTAAACCTTACTAGCAAAGATAATTTAGTTCCATCTTTTAGGATTTCGGGTGATTTCCCTCCGTTCCCTTATTCCGTCATGCCGTCTAAAAGAGTTTGAGGTGATTTTGCGCCGTTCTACCGTTCCACCATTCCATCATTCCATCTTTTAGGAATTCGGGTCATTTTTCGTTGATCCGTCATTCCATCATTCCGCCGCTCCGCCGTTTCGTCATTCCTGCTTTTAGGATCGCCCCAGAAACCAGAGCTCTCTCGAATCTAACTATACTATTCTTTTCTAGTTAGCTACATCTGGAACAAAATTAAAAAATAACACTTTTACGGTATAAAAGAGGCACGAGGAATCTTTTTCAACGAGAATGCATTATGCAGATAAGGTCCTCAGTAAATAACTTCTTGAGGGTAGGTCATTATTTGATTAAATGGCCTCGTAATGATGTCGTAATGACGTAATAATGGCATGACTGATCATGACATATTTTAATGTAATCTCTTTCGTGGTCACTCGTGGTCACACGTCAGTACTTTTAGACCCTCAGCTATCGCCGCGCTTCTTGTAAAATACCAATCCGCAGAAGATAATAATGCGTTCAGCGCTTCAGAACTTCGTTTACGCTAAGCCGGCATAACCATACGTTATCTTCAAGTTTTCAACTAATTGCTACTCTCTTCAGTAGAAACTTAGAGGACAGCAGATAAAAACTTGCGCTCCTAGCTAGCTTCTTTCAAAACATCATAATATATATCTGCTTTTGTTGATTCTATAATGATCTCTGCGTTCGTATGATTCCAACAATTTTCGAAGGTAACTTCCTTTTACCACGCTCTCGGTCTCGTCCGTCGCTTACGATGATTACTTCAGTACGATCTTCCCTGTCGTGTTTCTTCGGGGTAATATCCCGGGGCAAGAGAAGATCAAGGTAAGAGAGTGAATCTCCCATATATAGGCCTTTTACTCAAGCTCTTAAGTTACTTTTAGGAATGGTAAACTACAGTTCCTCCACGGATGTTCCTCGCGCGATTCAGGGACAGCACAAGCGACTTTCTCGCAACGAGTGTACCTGTGACGAAATGGCGAGTAATGTGGTGAAAAGTCATTTTATATGTTTTGAATTTCAGGAGACGTTTC